TGCTGAACCATCATGCCCACCAGAACGGGGAGGGCAAATCTGAGATCTCATCAGGCCCTCATCAGGCCCACGCTCTCCCTAGGCCAGTGCACTTGCCCTCACTCACCTCCAGCAGTAGCCACCCACCCACCTGGAGACTGAAAGGACAGATACAGGTAAAGGTTGGAGCTTGGCTGGAAGACCTGAGGGAGGGCCTTGAAATACACAGCAGGGGGAACCAGCAGTTAGCGTAATGGCTATGTCACTGGCCTCCCACGTAGTCGACCGTGGTTCGTGTCCCGGACCCGGTGGCTTAAAACTCACGCCGGGCGTGTGTGGGTGCGTGCCCAAGATCCCGAGAGGAGAATGTAGGAGAAGGGATTGCGGCATGACCATCCCCCCTGGGGGGGGATTTCTCGCTTTCTGTCTCTATGTCTCTGTCTGTTTGGCGAGCGCACACGCCCTACAGTGAAAATCTCTCCAAAAAAAAAAAAAAAGACATAGCAGGGACAGCAGCGGCAAGAGCATTTCCAGGGGCTTCCCTTCCCAGGACCACTTCAGACAGAGCAGCCTGTCCCCTCTCAGTTCCAAGAACTCCAGGTCCACGCACAGGCCCAGCACGCAGCATCTATCCCCCAGAACAGAGACCTGGGGGTGAAGTGGGCCATCCTTTCCCTGCCCAAGAAAGACCAGGGCCAGCCAGAGGGCCACCCAGAGGTGGTGGCACTAAGCCCCTACACCCACAGCCCCCATATGAGGATACCATGCACTGGTTCAGGTCTCAGAGCTTCAGGCTTGGGCCCCATGGCCCACCATCCTTTTATTAGAGTGGGGGTCCCTAGACCCAGCCCATTCCATGTCCATGAGGGTGGGGTAGCTCAGGGTGGGGAACCAGAGGGGCAACTCTGGATCCCACCTCATCTTAGGGGAGCATTTAGCACAAACCAAAGATGGAGACTTGAACCTTGGGCCTGGCTCCAAGAGTCTGAGCGCCTTGGTGAGGTTGGAAATGGGCCAGTTCTCAGAGGGGGTCGGTCTCTAAACCATGCCGCAGAGTCCAAATACCAAACACGTGGAGAAGGGTTAAGCCCAGCTGGGACCCTGGTCCAGCTGGAGGAGAGGGGTGGGCAGGGCATGGTTCGGGGACGGCTGGGTGAAGGTAGGCCAGGCCGGCCAGGGTGCTGCAGAGGGAGTGGCCTGTGAGCGTCCTCGGTCACGTGGGCGTGGGAGGCCCGGCCCATCAGGGTGCGGGGTGCGCGGCCAGGTGGCGTTCCAGCAGAGCGCGGTGCGAGAAGACTTTGCCGCAGGCAGGGCAGGGCGCACGCTCTGGCCGGTGCGTGCGCATGTGCACGTTGAGCGAGCTCTTCTGCGTGAAGCGCTTGGCGCAGACAGCGCACTGGAAGGCGCGCACGCCGGTGTGCGTGACCATGTGCTTAAGCAGGTAGTCGCGCAGCGAGAAGGATCGCCAACACACCGCGCACTGGTGCGGCTTCTCCCCTGCGGATGACAGGCGGTCGGCGCATCAGGACCACCGCTCTCCAAGCCCTGTGCCTAGCAGGCGCTCCCACCCATCATCCCGGGATGCCCTGTACAGCAGGGACACTGCCTTCAGTCCTGACCAACCCTGGCGAACAAAAGGGACTTACCCACGCCCTGGCACATCTCTCCATGCCCCTCCCAGACCCATCCCTCATTCTGGGTTACCACCTGTTGGCAGGGACCCCCCCCAACTCCAGCAGGTGGCCTCCCAGTGGGGAACTCTCCCAGTGGGGAAATCTGCTGCCCATCTGCAGTACCCCTCACCTGCACAGCGCCTAGCACAGGAGGGGAGGCCCTGGCTCCAGCCTCCCTCCCTTCTAGAGCTTTCTGAGCTCTCTGCTCACCAGCCACTGTCCAGGGCCCACTGGATGTTCCCGGGGTGACAGCAGCGTCCCCCTCACCCTGGACTGGAGAAGGGTGCAGCCTGTTCTCAGGGTTACAAAAGTCTATCTCCCAGGCACTGAACTGCAGGACAGGCCTACAGCAGGGAGTCAGGCCAACCAGGTCCAGCTTGGCTCAGGCTGAGTTCTAGTAGGGCCACCCCTACCTGGAGACCCCACAGCCTTCTGCAGGTGATCCCCAGCTCCAGGCCTGTCCCCATCCTCCAGGCAACAAGGTGGCAGTGTCACTGGTACCTCAGGGCACTTCTGCTTTCCTGCCACTCACAGTCAAATCCCAAGTTCCCGCCCCTGCAGACCCCTCCCTCACCCCTACAGCTGCCTCCTGGCTCAAGCTCTGCTCTTCCTGACAATGCCCAGACCTACTTTTCCCCTTCTCTGCAGCCTTGGGGCCCCATCCTTCTTTGTGGCTGTGGGCCCCACGCCAGCTTCCCACAGGCCCTGGGCAGGTCCCTGCTATAAAACACCTCAGGCCCTCCTCCATACAGGAAATGGGTGACAAAAGGGGCCGCTGCCCCATGTGAGGGTCCTTCAGGGGTTCCATCTCCAGGCCTCTGGGGTTACCAAAAACCAATAGAACTGAACGGGCACACTGGCCCAATCTCCCCTTGGGTGTAAACCTCCAGTGACCCAGGGCTCACAGATCTCTGTGGAGGGGCTCACCCGAGTGGATGAACATGTGCTTGGTGTAGTTTTTCCGTGAGCTGAACGTCTTCCGGCAGTGGCTGCACTCATAGGCCGGAGGCTCTGCGCCCTGGGCACGGGCAGCGGTGCCTGCCGGGGCCGCAGCGGGGGCTGCAGGTGGGGCTGGGGCCTCCCCGAGCTGAGCGCTGGGCGTTGTGTCGGGCTGCAGGGCTGGGTAGAAGGCTGGAGGTGGCGCAGGGGCCAGCCCCGAAGATGTGGGAGGTGTCGCTGCGGGCGGCCCAGGGGCACCAAGATGAAAGGGGAAGAGCGCAACAGGCGGCCCTGGGGTCTTCACTCCAGGAGGTCTGGGTCCTGCCAGGACACAGTCCGGCTGGACAGGAGTCTCGGCGGGGCATCCTTCGACCGCGGTGGCGTCCTCATCCTGCCAAGCAGACACGTAGGTGTCTGGGAACACATCTTCGGTAGCCGCAGCTCCTCGCAGGAAGTCTCTCCCCACACCGCCATAGTCAGTGAGGCCAGTGGGGGCAGGAGGGTCCTCCCGCGCGCTATCGACTGTGGCGGTGAGAAACCCTGCAGCACAGTCGGGAAAGGAAGGGGGTGCCTGCCCCTCGCCTGGCCCACCGCCCTCGCCGTCCTCGCCGTCGGTCTCATCATCTGTGTCCTCATCTTCGTCATCAACGCCATCGTCAGGGGCCGTGGACAGTGTGGGATCCGCATCAGGTCCCTCGGCCTTGGCGGGCGCAGGCGGTGCGGGCAGCTGCAGGCGTGCAGGCTGGCGCTGCGCCCGGAGTGCGAGTGCGCGCAATGATCTGTGTGCACTCGTCAATGACCGTCTGGATGCGCAGCACCGACGCGGCCGTGAGGACCTGCAGCGCCTCACCCTGCGCCACCACGAGGGAGCCGCTGTAGAGGAACTCCACGAGCTGGCGCACCGTCTGTGCGGGCACCACCGGCGGCACGCGGATCTCAGAGTGACCGAGCAGCAGCTTGTCCTGGAAGAAGGGCGAGCCAGCGGCCAGCACACAGCGGTGTGCGCGCAGGGAAGCCTCACGAATGCGCACAGTCACATCACAGAAGTGACCACCCAGTCTCTGTCCGTTGAGGGTCTCGAGCAGGGAGCGTGAGAAGTTCTGCAGGTGGATATGGTGCACCGCCTCTGTTGCCGCCATCTGCACAGGACGATGGGTGGGGGCGGGGGTGTCAGCTAACGGATGTCCTCTGCCCGGCATCCCTGTCCCAGAAATGGCTCCGCACTCCAGTCCTCTCAGACTCCATTTCTCCCCAGCAGCCCCTCACAGTCCCTGCTCCCAAGACACAGGTCAGAGCAGTAGTGACCCCCCACACGCCCCCTCCATAGTCCTCAGCACACCCCTGGGAAAGGGTTGGGGATACCGAAGGTCTGCTCCCCTCCCAGCCTGAGCACTGCCTTGGAGAGGGTTCCCTATCCAGAACAGTCCCCCTACCCTGGCCCACGTATCACTCGCCCCAGCTCCAGCACCGCTAAGCCTCCCATGCCTCCCTTCCAGTGGAGGAGAGGCCATGGACCCCACAGAACATCAGACCTTGCTGTGGAAATTCTGCCCCCCACCCCCAGCTAGTCCTTTTGGTGTCCCTCACCATGTGCCCCAAGTCGCTGTGCAGGCCCAAGGCTGCTGCTTGGAACTGCCACACTAACTAGTGGACACAGAGCTCCTGGAGCAGGGGGCGCTGCACCGCCCACCTTTCGGGCACAGCAGGGTGCGCTAGTCCCAGAGCGGCCGAGGGTGGAGCGTGGGGCCTGCCAGCTGCCCTGAGGGAGGCAGGTGCTCCACCAGTAAGGAGGGGACTCAGGGAGCTGCAGCTTCTTGGAATCCAAGGGGGCCTGTGGAGTTCAGGGTGTGGCGAAGCCTGGAGAGGGTGACAGACTGTGCAGGGCGGGGGCGACCTGGGCTGGTGGGGCAGCAGCGGCTGAGACCTGCATGGCCGAGCAAGCCCGAGACCGCATGATCCGGGCACTTGCTCACGCTTAGGCACCTGAAATGGAGGGGTGTCGCTGCGGGCCTCTGCGAATTTGAGAAGCCCTGACACTCCACCCTCCGAGCAGGCGACCCTCTCCGCGTCTGTCCAACAAGGAGGACGCGTGGCTCATCCCACACCTAACTGCACACACCTCCTGTCTGCGGAAGGACGCGGCCCACACTGCTCTCGCCAGCCCGCCCGTCCTGCGAGGCCACACAGCGAGGGGACCGCGGTTCCCGCCCCCACGCCCTCGAGCCTATTGGCCTCGGCCTGGCCCTCTGCCCCCACGGCGCCCAAACCTTCGTCCCTCTGGACCAGACCTCCCCGTTTCAGAATGCACCGCCCGACGCCTCCGACCGCTCCACACACCTCGGCTGCGCCTGCTCTCGCCAGCCCGCCCGTCCTGCGAGGCCACACAGCGAGGGGACCGCGGTTCCCGCCCCCACGCCCTCGAGCCTATTGGCCTCGGCCTGGCCCTCTGCCCCCACGGCGCCCAAACCTTCGTCCCTCTGGACCAGACCTCCCCGTTTCAGAATGCACCGCCCGACGCCTCCGACCGCTCCACACACCTCGGCTGCGCGGGTCACCGTTGCCCGCACCGGCGAGGGTCGCTCCTTGCTGGCCTCCCCCCGGACGGAGGCTTGCCCAGAGCCTCCACCGCGAGGAGCTAACTCAGCGCTTCCGCCCACCAGCCGCGCAGGGCTCACGTCAGCCGGCAGCACCTGCCCCACCTCTCTCCACGCGGCGCCTGCGGGGCTTCAGCTCTGCGACTGGCGGTGGCGCCGGCCGGGCGAGACCTGCGCGTCGACCGCAGGCTGGAGCCCTTCCTTTTCCGAC